CAACCAAGCGCGTCAGGGACAAAGGCAAGGAAGACACAGGGAACAGCGCGGGCAGAGAGCTTGTCCGCGATACCACCGCGGACAAAGGCATGAGCACCCCAGACCCGAAAACGCGACGCATCGCCAACCTTCCCCGTCCACAGCAGTGTGGGCGAGGTCTCTGGCAAGGAGACACGGGGCCAGAGGTTAAGCTGATGCACGGCGTACCGGACCGCAAACGGCCACAGAAAATGGGGGGCAGCCGCATGGATCATGGAGGTATGAGCAACCTCCATGACTAAGCCAATGCGGCGCTCAGCAACCCCATTCTGCTGCGGAGAGGCCGGAAGCGTGAAGGTCTGGTGGATGCCGTGCTCCTCACAGTAGGCTCGCAAGAGGTCGGAGGAGAACTCACCACCTTTGTCAGAGTGCAGACGCAGGTTAGGAAAGTCCGACTGGAGCCGCTTGCGGAGCTGGAGACGAACAGCGCGGATCCAGGGGATCAAAACATCAGGGACCTCCCCCTTGCGCTGTAAGGGGAAGACCGTGGTGTAACGCGTGTAGTCGTCGACCAGCAGGAAGTACCGCTCGTGGCCCTGTCCACAGACGCGGGCTGGGCCCCACACGTCCAGGTGGAGAGTCTGCAGGGGAGCCTCTGTGGGAGGGAACGAGGAGGAGTGAGGAGCGATGCGCTGCCGCCCCTCGACACGGGGAAGACAGGGAGGAGCAGGTGAGGGTGGGAGGGGAGGGAGAACCCTGGGAAGACCAGAGACAAGGACACGGCGGTGCATGCTAGGAAGGCGCTGCACCAAGGGGTGACCAAGGCGGTGGTGCCAAAGGAGGGTCTGGTGCGACAAAGCGCGACACGAGCAGGGGGCCGCTAGCTGACCTGACGCAGACGGAGACGCAGCGACCTGAGGGGACAAAGTAGTCAGTGTGTACAGACTCGAGCCAGGCTCACGGGTAAACGTGGCCAGGTGCTGGCCAGTCCGAGAGCACGTACAGTGCGTCACGCGCTGACCTCCAGGAGTGAACTAGTCAACCCACTGGTCCTGGAGGTCAGCACCACTCACCAAGTTCGTAGAGAAGGAGGGGAGGTGAAGACCTGACAAGGAGCTAGACGGGACCGCCGGACACGGCAGGACTATGGAGAAGTGCGCAAGGACTGGACCCCCAGAGGGGTCTGCCAGGGAGACTGCAACTGGCCGGCTGAGCGGCGTGAGGGTGGTGCTGTCGCGAAAGAAGGAGCGGGAAGCACCTGAGTCAAGTGTGAAGGTGTACAAGGCCTCAGCAGGCGCAGTACCAGAGAGAGTAGACTCACCAGCACCTGGAGTAGCAGCCTCACCAGTACTTAGAGCAGGAGACGCACTAGCACCTAGAGCAGCAGCCTCACCAGCACCTAGAGCAGCAGGCTCTATACCTGGGTCAGGCGGTACGCATAGGTAACAGGCACGGTTAGCACTAGTAGGCAATGCATACATGGCAGTGAGAATAGCATCATAGTCAAGAGCAAAGATATCTACCGTCCGTCCAAGCAGCTCCACCCAGGTGGGGAGCTCATCCTCGTCGCCAAACTCGGTACGCTAGGCGTCACTCAGATGGGGGAAGCAGCGGGACTATGTGTTACCAAGTGTCCCGCAAGCCTGACCAGTCCGATCACCTGTGCGAATGACGTACGGGCAGCGAATGGTACTCGAAGACCCTCTACTCCGAGTGTACCACTCGCGAACCTGCTGGGGCGTAAGTGTCTCGCGCGGACGTCACTGCAGCTGCAGCTGGCCACTGCGAGATGCTCCCGACTGACCAGCTCCAGGTCGACAGCCACGATAGCTACCGCCACAACCCCAACTAGGGTACCACTCACGAAGCTGCTGAGGCATGAGAGACTCGCGCGGACGTCGCTGGAGCTGCATCTGGCCACCGCCAGTAGCAGCAGTAGCAGTAGTAGCCGCAGTAGCAGCAGTAACAGCAGTAGCAGCAGTAACAGCAGTAGCAGCAGTAGCAGCGCGGCCACCCCTACAACCCCAACTAGTGTACCACTCACGAAGCTGCTGGGGCGTGAGGGACTCACGCGGACGTCGCTGGAGCTACATCTGGCCACCGCTAGTAGCAGCAGTAGCAATAGTAGTAGCAGTAGTCGCAGCAGCAGCGCGGGCAGGGCAGGCGCGGCACGCAGGCAGGCAAACAGGCAGGCAGAGGGCGCGACAGCGTACGAACAAGGCAGGTGCTCACCAGTGGCGGGCAGGGCCGGCGCTCGGCGGGGCCGCAACAGCGGCTGCAGAGTAGGGCCGTGGCAGCTGCAGGGCGGGGTCGCGCCAGCAACAGGTCGGGGCCGCGTCAGCTGCAGGGCTGGCGGGGCCGCGTCGGTGTCGAGGCGGGGCCGCGTCGGCGGCAGGGCGCGGCCGCGACAGCTGCAGGGCGGGGTCGCGCCAGCGGCAGGTCGGGGCCTTGTCAGCTGCAGGGCTGGCGGGGCTGCGTCAGCGTCCGGGGCACGGCTGCGTTAGAGGCCGAGCGGGGCCGCGTCGGCGGCAGGGCGCGGCCGCGTCAGCTGCAGGGCTGGCGGGGCCGCGTCGGAAGTAGGGCGCGGCCGCGTCAGAGGCTGGGCGGGGCCGCGTCAGCGGCAGGGCGGGCCACGACCGCGGCCTGACGGGGCCGCAACCGCGACCTGGCGGGGCTGCGTCGGCGGCAGGGCAGGGCCGCGACCGCGGCAGGGCGGGGCCGTGTCAGTGGCAAAGCGGGCCGCGACCGCGGCCTGACGGGGCCGCGACAGCGATCTGGCAGGGCCACGTCGACGGCAGGGCGGGGCCGCGACTGCGGCAGGGCGGAGCCACGTCAGCGGCAGGGCGGGCCCGCGACCGCGGCAGAGCGGGGCCGCGACAGCGGCAGGGCGGGGCCGCGTCAGCGACCTGGCAGGGCGGCGCTCTGGCCTGACGGGCCTGCAAAGGCAGCTCGCGGGCCTGACGGGCCTGCAGGGGCGGCTCGTGGGCCTGACGGGCCTGCAGGGGCGGCACGAGGGCCTTACTAGCCTATAGGGGCGGCGCGCTGGCCTAAACCAACAGCGCGAGGGCTGCAGGACGGCGCGCGCAGCGCAGCACGTCTCAAGGCAAGGCAGGCAGGCAGGCAGGCGCAGGACAACACGTGGGGTAGCGCGGTAACCGCAATGGTAGGTGGGCCCGAAAAAAGACGGTCCACGGACCTAGTGCTCTGAAACCATGTTAGAATCTAGCAGCAGGAAAAATGAATGCACTATGGAAGAGTAGGGTACAAGTATGAAACCCTAAACAGGGTTGTAACCCATATTGGCTACCCCACTACAGCCTACACATATATAGCATGCATATACTTTGACAGTACATACGCGTCACAATCGATTGGGACACTTTATTTGAGAAAGTGTCCAGCGCAGAATGCACCCTGAGATTAATTATAACATGCATGCATCGAGTTTATATAGGAAATACATGAGAATACGAAACGACCAAGACTAGCCATGTACTCTAAGGGGTACATTCCCTTATTGCAGCGAATAAACCGTGCAGCACGGGAACTCGTTTCAAACATATTCCCGCTCTTTTCATTTCAAATGTTTCTGCCTGCATCGGTCTTGGTCAGACAGTTGCTACGTCGCCTCGACTCTTCTGACTCATCGACTTTGTACTCGGTAGAGTCGGCTCCTGCAGCATGCTGGAATGCCTTCTCATACAACTTCATATCGTAACAAGTTTCATGTCAAGATAGCTTTCTCACATAATGACGGATAATTGGAAGTACACATAATTGAAATATATATCTTCATGTAATGGAGAAACATAAGTGTAATCAGATTTATCGGTCGCGTCCGCGTCCGGGGCAAGGCCGCGTCAGAGGCAGAGCTGTCAGAACATTATAGCTCATGCATATTGTGTAGGCTATAATGGGGTAGCCGATGAGGGGTACAACCCGATTAGGGTTAGTACTTGTACCCAATTCATTCATAGTTCATTCATTCTCGTTTCTTCTCATGGTATCGAGCAGGTTCCCTAACGGGAACGATTCCTAGGGCCCACCACTACGAATTTTTTTTCCTGCCCGGAGCGCGCTCCGCTTAGGCCCGAGTCGCGCCTCGTGTGCTTTCCTTACCGTTGCGTCCTCGCTAGGCCCCTCACGGCCCCATCGCGTCGCCCTTAGCAGCCCCGAGCGGCCTCGTCGCGCTGCCCTAGCGGTCGCGTCGCGCCGCCCTAACGGCCACGTCGCGCCGCCAAAGCCGCCCTCACGGCCCCCTAGCGGCCTCTTGCGGCCTCGATCCGCCGCCCTTGCGGCCCCGATCCGCCGCCCTTCGCGGCCCGTCGCCGCTCTCCCCCTGCGGCCCCTCGCCGCCCTTTCACCAGCGGCCCCGTCGCCGCCCTTGCACGGCCCTGACGCCGCCCTCCCTGCGGCTCTATTGCCGCCCTCTTTAGCAGCCCGTCGCCGCCCTTCTCAGCGGCCCCGCCGTCTCCTTTCAGAGGCCCCGCCACTACCCCTGCAGCAGCCTCGTCGCCGCCCTTTCAGCGGCCCCGCCGCCTCCTTTAAGCGGCCCCGCCGCCTCCTCTCCGCGGCCCCGCCGCCTCCTCTCAGCGGCCCCGGACGCCGCCCTCTCAGCGGCCCTTCCGCCGCCTCCTTTGCAGCCCCGCCGAGCCGCCCAGAAGCAGAGCCGCCGAGCCGCCCAGCAGCCGAGCCGCCGAGCCGCCCAGCCACCGAGCTGCCCAGCAGCCGAGCCGCTGCGCCACCCAGCAGCCGAGCCGCCGAGCCGCCCAGCCGCCGAGCCGCCCAGCAGCCGAGCCGCCCAGCAGCCGAGCCGCCGAGCCGCCCAGCAGCCGAGCCGCCGAGCTGCCCAGCAGCCGAGCCGCCGAGACGCCCAGCTGCCGAGCCGCCTACCGCCCAGCTGCCGAGCCGCCAAGTCGCCCTGCAGCCGAGTCGCCCGAGCCGCCCTGTCTGGTAAGAGCAGCGCCTCTGTCACTGCACTGCCCTCACCCTACTGTTGGCGCTGCTAGTCTACTGCTGTCATGGCTACCCCTAGTGTCCTCGCTTTTGACGCTGAGGGTCGGGCCATTGACTTTGACGTCTGGATAGATGACCTGCAGCTTTTCTTACAGTGCGATAGGGCGGACGGTCTCTCTCTCTTTGACGTCACCTCTGGTGCCTCTCCTGCCCCTGTTCCTGATGCTGACGCCACTGTCCGTTCACAGTTGGCCACGCGCGATGCTGCTGCACGTCTTGCTGTGCGTCGCCACCTGCCTACCTCTGAGCGTGCGCACTTTAGCCAGTACAAGAGTGCTCAGACCTTGTACGACGCTGTAGTTGCACGCTAGTCCTCCCCTGCCACTGCTGCACTGAGCCGCCTCATGCTACCGTACCTCTTCCCTGACCTTGCTGCCTTTCCCACAGTCGCTGACCTCATTACGCACCTCCGCACTAGTGACACTCGCTACCGCGCTGCGCTTCCTGCTGAGTTCTGCGCCAAGAACCCCCCCCCCATGTACATCACTCTCTTTTACATAGTCACCCGCCTCCCAAACTCCCTTCGCGTAGTCAGGGACCACTTTCTCTCAGTCTGTCCCACCACTCTCACTGTTGACCTCCTCGAGAAGGCCTTCCTAGCAGCGGAGAAGGGCATAGTTGCTGTAGGGGCCTCTCGTGGTGACCCGCGCACCCCCATCTTTGAGGGGTGTTCCCCCTCCCCTCTTTTGCCCTCTGTTGCCTCTGTTGCTGCCGCCAACCTCGTTGGTCTGGAGTCGGTCGGTGCGGCGTCTACCCCTAGTGGGAAGCGTCGCTCTGGCAAGGGCAAGGGGGGCAGGGGCGCTGGAGGAGCTAGCGGGGGCGGTGAAGGCGGCGGTGGAGGCAGTGGAGGGGGTGGGGGTTGTGGTGGGAGTGGAGGCGGGGGTGGAGGTGTCGGCGGCGGCAGTGGAGGCGGAGGCGGCAGCGGCGGTGGCGGTGGGAGCGGAGGTGGTGGAGGTGGCGGAGGTGGAGGAAGCGGTGGCGGAGGAGGAGGAGGAGGAGGTCGTGGCTCTTTGCAGAGGAGTGGCTCCGGTGGTGGTCAGCACCAGCAGCAGCAGCGCAGTCGGGAGACCCTGTCCCCTTAGCAGCTTCGTGAGTGGTACGCTGCACGCCAGCGGGGTGGGGGTACTGGTCCGTGCACCTACGTCCTGCGCACCGGCGACCGTGCGGGTGAGCAGTGTGGGAGTGCGCACCCTACCCAGCGCTGCTTTGGCCGCCTGACGGACGCTTGGCGTCACCAGTTCCCTGAGGCCACTGAGATCCCTCGCTGGGGCGAGCTGACTAGGGCAGGGGTAGCTATATTTGACCTTGACTTTGATGCTATTCTTGCTGCTACACACTGACCACTGCGTCTCCTCCAGTCCCTGCGTTTGGTCACGTAGCTGCGTCGGGTCAGGTGTTAGCTGTAGCGTCCAGGTCTGGTCCTGAGTCTGCCCCCTGCTCGTGTCGCCTCCTGTCTCACGAGACTCTCCTCTGGCACCACCGCCTTGGTCACCCCTCCCTGCTTCGTCTCCGAAGCATGGCCTCCCGTGTCCTTGTCTCTGGTCTTCCCCGGTCCCTCCCTCCCCTTCCTCCGGGGCGTGGCCCTACCTGCGTCCCCTATGTCGAGGGGCGGCAGCGGGCTACCCCTCACTCCTCCTAGTTTCCTCCGACAAAGGCCCCATTGCAGACGCTTCACATGGACGTGTGGGGCCCAGCACGCGTCCGTGGATAGGGTCACGAGCGCTACTTCCTGCTGGTGGTTGACGACTACTCGCGTTACACCATAGTCTTCCCCTTGTGCAGCAAGGGTGATGTCACTAAGGTGTTGATCGACTGGATCCGCGCAGCTCGTCTCCAGCTCAGGCGGAGCTTCGGCTTGGTCTTTCCTGTTCTGCGTCTGCACTCTGACAGAGGCGGAGAGTTCTCCTCTGGCCTTCTCCGAGCCTACTGTCGTGCACGAGGCATCCGCCAGACCTTCACGCTTCCGGACTCTCCACAGCAAAATGGGATTGCTGAGCGCCGCATTGGCATGGTCATGGACGTCGCCCGTACGTCCATGATGCATGCGGCTGCCCCCCATTTTCTGTGGCCGTTTGCGGTTCGGTACGCGGCGCATCAGATCAACCTTCACCCCAGGGTCTCCATGCCGGAGACCTCCCCAGCTTTGCTGTGGACGGGGAAGGTTGGAGATGCGTCTGCGTTCCGTGTCTGGGGATCTCGAGCGTTTGTCCGCGACTTGTCTGCGGACAAGCTGTCCCCTCGTGCTGCTCCTTGCGTCTTCCTGGGTTTCCCCCCTGACGCGCCAGGGTGGCAGTTTTACCACCCCACCTCGCGCCGTGTTCTGTCCTCCCAAGACGTCACGTTCGACGAGTCGGTCCCCTACTACCGTCTCTTCCCCTACCGCACTCCGTCCCTCCCCCCGCCACCGCTCTTCCTTGTGCCAGGTCCCCCCCCGATAGACCCTCTCCCCCCTCAGGGTCCTGCCCCTTCAGGTGTGTCCCAGGTAGATGCTGTTGAGCCTATCAAGGTCGCTGGTGACTCTGGTGCTGCTGAGGGTGCTGAGCCTGGGGGTGCTGACTCTGGGGGTGCTGAGCGTGTGGGTGCTACGCCTGGGGGTGCTGAGCGTGAGGGTACTACGACTGGGGGTGCTGAGCCTGGGGGTGCTGAGTCTAGGGGTGCTGAGCCTGGGGGTGCTACGCCTGGGGGTGCTGAGCCTGGGGGTGCTGAGCCTGGGGGTGCTGAGCCTCGGGGTGCTGAGCCTGGGGGTGCTGAGCCTGGGGGTGCTACGCCTGGAGGTGCTGAGCCTGGGGTTGCAGAGCCTGAGGGAGCTGGGCCTGCTGGTGGTGTGCTTGGCGGTTCTCCGGGTGCTTCTTCTCGCCGGGAGCCACTCTCTCCACAGGAGCTGCGTGAGTGGTTTGCCCGGCGCTGGAGGCAAGCTGCTGGAGTTGGAGGTGCTGCGGGTACTGGAGGTTCTATTGCTGCTGAGGGAGCTGGTGCCACGGGGCCCGGAGGTGCTCGTACTGGGAGTACTGGAGCTGTTGGACCTGTGGGTACTTCTGGAGCTGGAGCTGCTGCGGGTGTTGGCGCGGAGGCTACTACTGTCGGTCCTGGAGGCGGTTCTGCTGGGGGTTCTACTCGTGCTGCTGGAGGTACTGGAGCTGGAGCTGCTACTGGTGCTGGTGCTGCCACTGGGGGTGCTGGTGCTGTCCCTGCTGTGTCTGGAGTCGCCGCGCGGCCTCGGCCGTACTTCGTTCCGCTCCTTCAGCAGGTTCTTGGTCTCCCATCTTCTACTGGTCCTCCTCCTCCCTTAGAGTGTCCACAGCCTGTCCCGTCGCAGTTACAGTTACATCCGACCTCCCCACTGCCTGCTCCGTCTCCCTACACTGGTCCTACTGGAGGTCTTGCTGAGCTTCGAGAGCCTGCGTCTCGCCCTGCGTCGCCTGTCCGTGCTGCTCGCACTAGTGGTCGCGGTTCGTGTCAGCGTCCTCCTCCTGTCCCTGGCACGCACCGGATGTCTCTGCGTCCATCCACTGCTCCTCTGTGTGCCCCTTTGATTTCTCCTCCTGAGTCTTCTCTTCCTGCTCTTGGCGACCCGGAGTCGGACTCTCTTCGTGCTACGAAACCTACTGTCACGCGTCTCCTTGCTACTGTTGTCACTGACCCTTCCTTTGCGTCCACTGCTGCGTCTGCCCTAGTTGCTGAGCTCGTCCACTTTGCTACTTGCTGTCGCCTAGACTACGCCGCCAGTCTTGTTGCTGAGTCTGAGTCTATCTGTCCTCCGTCCGTCGGGGGTGAGTGTGCCCTTGGCACGGATGTTCTTGAGGACAGGCAGGAGGAGTTCCAGTGCTTGGCCGCTGCTTCACCTCATCTTGTGTCCGTACTGCTTACCCCTGAGGGAAACCCGGTTGCACTTGACATCCCGACTCCGCGCTCTTACGCAGAGGCGATAGAGAGTCCCTACTCCTTTCAGTGGCAGGCAGCAATGGACGCAGAGATGGCTTCCTGGAAGTCCACAGGCACCTACGTTGACGGTGTTCCCCCTCCTGGGGCGAACATCGTCAGTGGCATGTGGATTTTCAGGGTGAAGCGACCGCCGGGTTCTCCGCCTGTCTTCAAGGCGCGTTACGTGGCTCGTGGCTTCAGTCAGCGGCAAGGAGTTGACTACTTTCAGACCTTCTCTCCTACCCCAAAGATGACCACTCTTCGGGTACTGCTGCACATAGCTGCTCACCGTGACTACGAGCTACACTCTCTTGACTTCAGCACTGCTTTCCTGCAGGGCAGCCTACACGAGGAGATCTGGCTGCATCGCCCACCTGGTTTCACTGGGTCTTTTCCTCCTGGCACCCAGTGGAGCCTCCGGCGGCCAGTCTACGGTCTCCGCAAGGCACCGCGTGAGTGGCACGACACACTGAGGACTACACTTGCGGCTCTTGGGTTTGCTCCCTCTACTGCAGACCCGTCGCTGTTTCTGCGCACCGACACTTCTTTGCCGCCGTTCTACATCCTCGTTTACGTCGACGACTTGGTCTTTGCCACAGCTGACACTGCTGGACTCGCCCACGTGAAATCCGAGCTGTAGAAGAGACACACGTGCACTGACCTGGGTAAACTGCGTAGCTACCTTGGCTTGCAGATCACTCGGGACAAAGCACGCCGCACCATTACCCTGACTCAGTCACACATGGTGCAGCAGGTCCTTCAGCGCTTCGGCTTCACGTACTCCTCGCCTCAGGCACTCCTCTGCCTACTCGCCACTCGCTCTCAGCTCTGCCTTCGGATGAGTCCGTAGAGTCGAGTGGCCCGTACGCAGAGCTTGTTGGCTGCCTCATGTACCTGATGACCTACACACGACCTGACCTTGCATACCCTCTTAGCATTCTTGCACGCTATGTTGCTCCTGGGAGACACAGACTGGAGCACATGGCTGCAGCAAAGAGGGTGTTGCGCTACTTGTGCACTACGTTGGGCATGGGGCTTGTGCTTGGAGGGCAGAGTCCAGTGGTCCTTACTGGGCACGCAGACACTTCTTGGGCTGACGACCAAGCTACGCAGCGGTCGTCACAGGGTTACACCTTCAGCCTTGGTTCCGGCTCTGTTTCGTGGCGGGCTACTCGCTCGTCTTCTGTTCTCGGCTCCAGTTGTGAGGCTGAGATCTACGCAGGAGCCATGGCTGCACAGGAGCTTCGCTAGCTCACCTACCTGCTGACTGACCTCGGAGAGCCGCCTCGTTCTCCTCCGGTACTATACGTAGACAACAAGTGAGAAGAAACGAGAATGGATGAACTATGAATGAACTGAGTACAAGTACTCACCCTAATTGGGTTGTACCCCTTATGGGCTACCCCACTATAGCCTACACAATAAGCACAAGCTATATGTTCTGACACACCCCCATAGGCAAAGTGGGGGAGAACAAGGGGTCACAAGACCAGTCAAGCAAAGCAAAACAAAGCAAGCTCAGGGTGGATCACAAAGTCCCACACATTCTGAGCACAAGTTCAAGGCCACAAGGCCAGTTCACATGCAGGAGTACATATATATAAAGGACTAGACAAGCAAGAGCAGGAGTATATATATGCAACAGTACAAGCAAGGTCAAGAGGTGAGCAAGTGAGGCAAGACAGGCACAAGACCCAGCTGCGTGCAGAAGCGCTGATCATCACAAGGCGCAAGTGCCTTGGTGAAGACATCAGCAGTGTTGGCCTCAGAGGCCACGTACGCAAGGCGCAACTGACCACGCTGGTGTAGCTCACGAGCAAGGAAGTAGCGAAGAGCAATGTGCTTTGTTCTGTGCTCCAGTCTCTGCTCTCGACACAAGGCCAGCATGGCCTTGTTGTCTACGTACAGGACTGGAGGAGAACGAGGCGACTCTCCAAGGCCGGTCAGCAGGTAGGTGAGCTAGAGAAGCTCTTGTGCAGCCATGGCCCCGGCGTAGATCTCAGCCTCAGAACTGGAGCCGAGAACAGAAGACGAGCGAGTAGCCCGCCACAAAACAGAGCCGGAACCAAGGCTGAAGGTGTAACCCTATGACGACCGCTGCGTAGCCTGGTCGTCAGCCCAAGAAGCGTCTGCGTGCCCAATTAGGACCACTGGACTCCGCCCTCCAAGCGCAAGCCCCATGCCTGACGTACTGCACAAGTAGCGCAACACCCTCTTCGCTGCAGCCATGTTCTCTGGTCGATGTCTCCCAGGAGCAACATAGCGTGCAACGTAGACTGGACGCCGGAGACTCCACTGGGTACCAAGAGGGAAAGACCCAGTGAAGCCAGGTGGGCGGCGCAGCCAGATCTCCTCGTGCAGGCTGCCCTGCAAGAAAGCTGTGCTAAAGTCGAGAGAGTGCAGCTCGTAGTCACGGTGA